AACTCTGACACAAGCTGCTCTTTTTCAAGGACAGCTGTGGCAGAGCTTGTGACTGACCCAAGGTCACATCAGCAGGTGCAAATAGAGGAGTGGGGAATCAAACCCGGTTCTCCCAGATTAGAGTCCGTGCACTTAACCACTACATCAAACTGGCTCTCTCAAACTGGCCTGTGGACTTCGCTGCCTCTACCCCACTCTCCAGGCACCCGAAACAGTGCCCCTGAGTAAATGGCCAGCATCATGAACCTTGGTAACAAGCCATAACAAGCCCCTCAAAAGATTTCAGTCAGATCTCATAGCACTCTGTGTTCCGTCATGCGCATCCGACTCCCTGAAATTGTTCATGAAAAAGCTAACTTCAGCAGATGTTTGGAAACAAGTCGCTGTGCAATTTCTTGAAAGGCCGTGTCTTTTTTGGTTTGTTCGCTTTCGATAGCTGGGGTTGCACTTCTCTGAATACAACAGGGTTTTCTGTTTGTGAATTTGTCCAGACTTCTGTGAATTCATCTGGGGCGGTAGTGGTTTCTACAGGAACACACTGTCTGTATAAGATGTTGCCTTTCAAACACTCTCTTCCGTTAACTAGACTGGTCTTTCTCCAAGGTATAAACTGTTGCTTTGCCAGTAAAAGACACAGCCCGAGTGGTTAATTTGTAATCAGTTTACATATGTCACAAACGGTGTGCCTAGAGTTGCCAACCTCCAGGTGGGAAACCAAAAATGAGAGATCATGGAAGTGGAATTCCAAAAACAACATCCCTGACAAAAATAACGAAGAGTCAATAAAGATAAGTTGAGAATCCAGCTAATACACTGTGAAGACCTTGGGTTCTGTTATTACAGAGTTAGCATGGAATGCTTCCTCCAAGAGTTGATAAGTAGTAAAGTGACAGTTTTGTCCGTAATGGTTTATTATGATTCTTTAAGCTACATTTATAATTGAATGTGTATCTTCCTTTTAGTGATAAGAATTGGGATTGCTACACGCTCAGATACAGCAAATATTGTGAAACAAATTGTTTTCATTGCACAGTATTTGTTAAAGCGTGTGAGCGATAATAGAAGAAAATTTTCTACAGAATTACTATAGTAAACGTTTTTGCAACTTATCTTTATTGACTCTTGGTTATTTCTGTCATGGATGTTGTTTTTTGAATTCCTCAACCTCCAGGAGATCTCTTGGAATGCTGCCTAGTCTTCCAGACGACAGAGATTAGTTTCCCCAGAGAAAATGGCTGCTTTGGAAGGTAGACCCCATGGCATTATACCCGGCTGAGGTCCCTCCCTTCTCCAAACCTTCCCTTCCTCACGTTTCACCCTCCACCAGTGTTCCCTCTAAGCTGAGTTGGTGTGAGCTAGCTCACAGTTTTTTAGCCTCTGGCTCACACCTTTTTGTTTTAGCTCAGGAAGGAAGGCTCCAGAGCAAACTAATTTATGCAGAAGCCAAATGGCTCGCTCACAACTTTCATGCCAGTAGCTCACAAAGTAGAATTTTTGCTCACAAGACTCCACAGCTTAGAGGGAATATTGCCCCCCCCCCCCCAAATCTCCAGGTATTTCTTAACCCAGAATTGGCAACCCTAGGCAAGCCACGTTTAAATTTAAGTTTGGTGTTTATGATATTTAAGCTTGGTGTATGTGATGCTTTTACCGCTTCCCCTAGTTGCATCGATGCCGCTTGCATTCCAGTCCTTTTCATTCAGATAGATGTTCAGATAGATTCAGAACTGTTGCCGCCAGGGCTATTTTTGGGCAGGAACGCAGAGGAACAGAGTTCCGGCTGGCTCCCGAGTTGGCCACGCCCAGCAGGAACTCATTAGCATAATAGGCCACACCCAACAGCAGAAACTCGTTAGGATTGGTTACATTAGGGGTGTGTGGCCTAACATGCAAAGGAGTTCCTGCTACAAAAAAAGCCCTGGGTTTTGACAACAAACAAGGTAAACAGAATAAGAAGCTAAAGGTGGGTGTGGCTGGATGACCACACTTCTGGTAACGTGGGGGGTGCGGCCTAATATGCTAATGAGTTTCTGCTGTTCGGTGTGGCCTGTTATGCTAATGTGTTCCTGCTGGGCTTTTTCTACAAAAAGAGCCCTGGTTGCCGCCATCATTAAAAAAAAATCATTATTATCAGAATCTATGACCGCTAGCCCTTTATAATTTTAACTTTGGATTGTTTTAGGGAGTTTTTAAGATCGGTAATAATTGTTATCTATATGTTTTGTCGTGTTGTAAGCCTCTCTGAGCTGACTCCGGCTGGGAGGGCGGGGTGTACATTTGATAAATAAATGAATATTCACGCTGTGAAAAGAACCCCACCGCAGTCTGTAGCAGAGCCCCCTAAGGGCGTGGAAGAGTGTGTTCTGTATGCAGCTGCAAATGGAGCTGTCGTTACAAGAAGACCAAAGGGGATGAATTTGCCCGTCCTACATCCTGCCTGGTTTTTGAGTCAGTGCATAATCAGAGTGGTTCAAAGGTGGAATCAGCTGCCTAGGGAGGTGGTGAGCTCCCCTTCACTGACAGCTTTCAAGAGGAGGCTGGACGAATATTGGTCAGAGATGCTTTTAGGCTGGTCCCGCATTGGGCAGGGGGTTGGACTAGAGGCAGTGTTCCGTGCGCCTCGGTGTTTAGTCATGCCGGCCACATGACCACGGAAACGTCTTCGGACAGCGCTGGCTCTTCGGCTTCGAAACAGATGAGCACCGCAACCCTAGAGTCGGATTCGACTGGCTTTCGAGCAAGGGAGACCTTTACCTTTACTATGGCCCCTTCCAGCTCTATGATTCTATTTTGTATTAAAGGGATACACGTTAATAGGGACTCTGTGGCTGTTATTTCTCTGTGTCAAGGTCCATTTCCTCTCCGTGCGTGCGCAAAGGGCAGCATGTGAACGCGTGATATCTTGAGAGCCGACATTGCTGCTATGATTTTGATTCTTTCTTCTTCTTCTTTTAAAACTTTCGAAAGTCCTGGAAAACCGGTGTGGACACAAACTAGGCAGTGTTCCCAGATGCTCAAGGGAAGACGTGCCATACAATTTACCAAAGCATCGCACTTCTCGAGTCTCGCCCTTGCATTTTGTGTGTGTGTGTGTGTTCGTTCTTTTTCTTTTCCCTGTCCGACTTCCTTCAGTGCTCTTCTGGCTGCCGTGTGATACAATCCCCGCCCGGCTTTTGGGTGGGGAGGCTGTTTAGAAAAGAAAAGAAAAGGGTCTGGAATTTCTGCACCTCCACAAATCCCCCCCCTCGCTGACCGAAGATTAATAAGCCGTGACTGTCTGTTTCCCCCTGCCTTTTGCAGGGCCCTTGTGTAAAGCCAGCGGCTGGTGCTAGTTCACGTGGGTGAGATTCGTTTCCTGTGTTCCTCAGGGCCTGGCACCACCAGCTCCAGCCGTCCAAGGGGCGAAGGTGATGGCAAAGCGGAAGCCCACCCTCCCCTGCTGCCTTCGTCACACCTTGCCCCTCAGAACCCCCACGCCCTCATCGCCTCTTCTGGCGATACCTCGCCAGAAACCGTCCAAAGAGCCTCTTCGACTCAGGTAAGAGCATAGCACGTAGTCGATGGAACGCCACAAAAATGCTAGTTGTTATCGGGAGCTGGGGGGGAGGATATATTATGGAACAAAACAAAACAAACCTGCTGCTTGATGTAATGGTTAGGAGCGTGGACTCTAATCTGGGAGAACCGGGTTTGATTCCCCACTCTTCCATGTGCAGCTACTGGCGTGACCTTGGGTCAGTCACAAGTTCTCTCAGAGCTGTTCTCTCAGGAGCAGTCCTGGAAAGAGCTCTCTCTCAGCCCCACCTACTTCACAGGGTGTCTGTTGTGGGGAGGGGAAGGGAAAGGCGATTGTGAGCCGCTCTGAGACTCCTTCGGGCAGTGAAGGGCAGGGTGTAAATCCAATCTCTCCTCCTCCTCCTCATATATGCCTGGCACGTACGAGAATTCAGAATTGTTTGTTTATATCTTCGATAACGGTCTAAAGCAAATCTTGCTTGCCCTTCTCCACGAAGTTGTCGGACAACGAAAAAGGGCATGCAACAGTTTGTGCCCGACTACAGGATTCCGTGCCTTGACTTGGGATACTGGAAGCTAAGCAGGGTCGGCCCTGGTTGGCACTTGGCTGGGAAACCACCACAGAAGTCCAGGGTTGCTATGCAGAGGCAGGCAAGGGCACAACCACCTCTGTCACTTCTGCCTTGACCCGGAATGGCCCGGGCTAGCCCAAGCTTGTCAGATCTCAGAAGCTAAGCAGAGTCGGCCCCGGTCAGAGGTCATTTCGGGGGGGATCGCGGGGGATCGCAGTTCCCCCGGGTGGCCCTCATTCAGCCAGGAGGAGGCAGGAGAAGAGGGAGGGTAAGTTGCTTCCTCCCTGCCTCTCCCCACCCCTGCCTGCCTGGGGCCAGGGAGGGCCTTCGCGGGGCTTCCTTGCACTCCCGCCGGCCTTGCAAGTCCACCGCCGGCGGCCGGGACCGTTGGGCGCAGGGGGTGTGGCCTTATGACACACTTCCGGTGATGTCAGGGGGTGTGGCCTTATGACACACTTCTGGTGATGTCAGGGGGTGTGGCATATGCTAATGAGTTATGCTAATGAGTTCCCCTAGGTCTTTTCCTACGAAATGACCCCTGGCCCTGGTCAGTATTTCGATGGGAGACCACCAAGGAAGTCCAAGGTTGCTACGCAGAGGCAGGCAAGGGCAAACCGCCCCTGAACGTCTCCTGCCTTGAAAGTCCTATGGCAGGGGGTGGCCAGACTGCAGCCCGGGATCCGCATGTGGCTCTTCCACGCAGTCTACATTTAATGTTAATAAAAAGCAAATGTGCATATTTTCCGATAAAAACGTGTGTGCACTATTTGTTCATCTCGCACAGCTCTCAAACGTAAGACGTTTATTCTGTGCGGCTGTTGCGTTAAGCCAGTTTGGCCGCCCCTGCCCTATAGGGTTGCCATAAGTGACTTGACGGCACATTCCTCCCCACATGTATCACGCGAGTCCTACGGTCGTTCAGTAAGCGGTCAAGACGACCTTCAGGTCACCTCCAGCCCCAGTCTGCAGTGGATGTTTCCATAAGTATTTTAATACCGCTGGACATAAAGGCTCTTGCTGCTTAGGCTCGGAAGAATATTTCACTTTCTTGTATTGCCCTATACTGAGAGCAGAGATTCTTTGAACACCAGTATCTAAGTGGTTAAGACGCTGAGCTGCAGGCTGTGGAAGGTCGGTAGTTCGGCAGTTCGAACCCGGGTGCCGCATGACGGAGTGAGCTCCCGTCTCTAGTTCCAGCTCCTGCCAGCCTAGCCGTTCGAAAGCAAGAAATTGCAAGTCGATAAATAGGGACCACTTTGGTGTGAAGGTAACAGTGTTCCGTGCGCCTTGGTGTTTAGTCCTGCCGGCCACATGACCACGGAAACGTCTTCGGACAGCGCTGGCTCTTCGGCTTTGAAACGGAGATGAGCACTGCAACCCTAGAGTCGGACTCGACTGGCTTTCGAGCGAGGGAACCTTTACCTTTTATCCAATATTCAGGAATGCTTCTCGTCCTGATTTTATCCTCGTTCTAAATAGGAGAGTGCATTGCAGGAACGGCTTTCCCTGGTGTTAAATGTTTCCGGCACTATAGAACACAGCTTAAAATAGTCCAGGGTGGTGGTGGTTTTTTTAAAAAAACTAAAACCTTTGTTCCCTTTAAAAAGCAGGAGGGGGAAACAGCCATTTCTTTGCAGTCCCCCCGGCCAAAAGCTCTCAGTGATAAACGATTCTCCTCGCCAACCCCAATGGGAGATCCTCCTGACTCATCCTCGTCACGTAGAGGAGAAACCGGGGCCCAAATTTCCATTTAGCTTACAGGAAAAGTTCCCCAGTTGGACTGCTGGGATCACTGGAAGCCCGGGTCAAGCGGCTGCAAGCTGTAGCTGCTCCGACCAGTGTTCCCTCTAAGCTGAGTGAGTGTGAGCCAGCTCACAGTTTTTTAGCCTCCAGCTAATACATTTTTGTCCTGGCTCAGGAAGGATGGGGCTCCAGAGCAAACTAATTGATGCCGCAGCCAAATGGCTCGCTCACAACTTTAATGCCCGTAGCTCACAAAACAGAATTTTTGCTCACAAGACTCCACGGCTTAGAGGGAACATTGGTTCCGACACTGACGTGGGGGCTCAAATCATTTTGCAGCCAGATTTGGGGGGGGGGGGGTCAACCCACCTGCCGACCTTGTCCCACCACCAGTCCCTACTGGTGGTGGCATGGAAGGGTGAGTTGGCGCCACTGTTGACACTGCTGGCCTGAACTGAACTGAGTGGCCCTCGCACGGCTAGGGTATGCTCAGCTCGGCTTGCACACTAACTTCCTAGCCCTCCCCTAAAGGGCCTCCACCTGCCATGCAAGTCCCTGGAAAAGAAACAGTAAACCATTCTTTAAAAAAATCACTTTGCATGTAGTACCTGAGGCCTTTTTTTGAAATGCCAAAATCATGGGGAGCCAGGGATATGTAGTTGAGTGGAAGAGCCTCTGCTTGGCATCTCCAGTTAAAAGGACCAGGCAGGAGGTGATGGGAAAGACCTCAGCCTGAGACCCTAGAGAGCTGTAAAGAGGGGCTGTGGCTCAGTGGTAGAGCCTCTGCTTGGCATGCAGAAGGTCCCAGGTTCAGTCCCCGGCATCTCCAGTTAAAAGGACCAGGCAGGAGGTGATGGGAAAGACCTCAGCCTGAGACCCTAGAGAGCTGTAAAGAGGGGCTGTGGCTCAGTGGTAGAGCCTCTGCTTGGCATGCAGAAGGTCCCAGGTTCAGTCCCCGGCATCTCCAGTTAAAAGGACCAGGCAGGAGGTGA